TTTTGTACATGTAGCATGCTCCATATATTTATGTAAGAAGTGAAAATATTTTTTTATTCCCCCATGTTACCCCATCTATTAGCTAGTTCGAAGGCAATCTTACCATCCACACCTCTGTGGGCTGAACCCATATGGACAACAAGGCTAGATAGATGACTATTCCCATGCGCACTGCAATGTCTGACCTAGCAGGTAGAATTACTAGAGCAAGGACCCATGCCTGCGGAAACATTAAAGGCACTATAGTTATTAAAGTGAGCATCGTAAAAATAAATTACTAAAACAATAAAGATACAGTACAGAGGTATAAACTCGATTGTTTTTCATAAATTTCAGGCTTCTAAAACTTCCCAAATAAAGAACATTTTTCATCACACTAATTGGAAGTAGCATAAATTGCAGATACAAAGTTAACAATATAACCTTCAAAGACTCATATGAAGCTTCTATTCTCATAGGGAAGATAAAATTTCCACTCTCGAGAAATTTCTTGTTCACCTATGTTTGCAAAACGCAAGAGTAAAAGAAAATTTTCATTCCATATGTCTTCTAGTTATTTCTTCTCTGCAACGAGACCAAAATGGTGAATTACCTTTTGCTGTGCTTCCACATTCTTCTCACAATGAAATAGAGGCAAGTCACTAATTTTATCGATTACACCACGTAATAGAGCCATTTTTACCAATTTAAATGAGGGCAAAAAAAGTTCTTAATAAATTTCTTGGATAATGGAAAACAAAAAGACACGTAGGGATAGAGTACCCTATTCTCATTTTTCTATTCAGAGCTTCTTCTTTTGGTTAAATGAGAACTCGTTAATATTTAATATGTCCATAAAATCACAATTTTGCAAATGACGAAGATTGTTGTGCAGTTTCACTAATTTCCTAAAACTATCAGAGAATAGATATCTGTCTCTGACTTTATTCTGGGAGTAAGATTGAAGGTTGCAGCCCTAAACTATTTCCCTTCCTTATTTTTAAACAATCATTGACAAAAATTTCATTAACTTTCGCTAAATCCACAACCCTGAAATCCAAAAGAATCAATTTTCCCAACTCAATTGGTTAAATAGAGATATATATGAGCAAGAAAATTGGATTGTGCCGTTAAGCTTCATAAAATGTCATTTCTCAGGGGAAAAAAAAATTATTACCATAATAACAAAAGCGGCATCAGACACAATAATGAGCAGAGGTTAACCATGAATTAAGATATCAAAGAGCAAAATCTAACTAATAAATTCATTGTTGTTGTTTCGCGCGGGTAGTCACTAATAATTAAAAAGGGATCGGACGATTGTGTAAGGAACAAATCTCTTGAAACAAAGTCTCAAAAGGGATGTTTAAAACACCGTTTTGCACCAACTCGCTCTGATACCAAATGTGATGTTAA